AATTTTAGCTCGCAACTCAAAGCAAAAAATCGGCCGAGAGACGGCTTGTATCTCCAAAAACTCGTTAGTCGGGACACTCGTAAGTCAAGGCCCCACTGTATGAAGAGACAAAGTGAAGCTCAGAAGTTAAATAACTTGTTAACAGTCAAAGCTAGTGATTGGTGATTTTGGAATTTAAACTCAGGTGTATCCAACCTCAAAGTCCAACCTCTGTCTAAGCAGTACCTGGCACATAGTAAGTGCTCAGTAAATATTTGTGGAAGGAATTAATGAATTTTCCCTCTTCCCCTTATCTTCTCCATTCGCCTACCCTGGCCTCGTCTTGGTTCCTCTTCTTCCTTGGCCTGAAGTTTCAAAGTAACTTTGACCTGCATTTTTTTAAATATATTTTTTATTGATTAAGATATTACATATGGCCCTAACCGGTTTGGCTCAGTGGATAGAGCGTCGGCCTGTGGACTGAAGGGTCCCAGGTTTGATTCCGGTCAAGGGCATGTGCCTTGGTTTCGGGCACATCCCCAGTGGGGGGTGTGCAGGAGGCAGCTGATCGATGTTTCTCTCTCATCGATGTTTCTAACTCTCTATCCCTCTCCCTTCCTCTCTGTAAAAAATCAATAAAATATATATTTTTTTAAAAAGATATCACATATGTGTCCTTATCCCCACGTTATCCCCTACCAACCCGCTCATGCCCTCACCCCCCTGTTGTCTGTGTCCATTGGTTAGGCCTATATGCTTGCATATAAGTCCTTTGGTTGACCAAAGTAACTTTGACCTGCATTTAAAGATTTTGGAAGAGGCTGCTATTAAAATGCAGTGCACCTTTCCTGGGAGGAAGAGTTCAGCCCTCCTCTGACACATTAGCCCGATGACTTCTCCATCATCCATACCAATGCAAAGGCCTGGAATTGGTCCAGGTAAATTTGGACTGGGAAGAGGGAGAGTGGGGAGATGAAGCCTGCAAAGGAGAGAGGGAAGGGAAGGGAGAAAGGCCAAAGGAAGAGTGCGCAGACACAATTATTCTTGCAAAATTCCCAAAAGGGTCATTCACCATTTCCCTTGGGATGCCCAGTCCATCTGCAGAATTAGCAGAAATCAGTCCCCTGCACTGTTTGGGACGTTGGGGCAGGCCACCCCAGACTGAAGGGCACTAAGGCGCCTACCGGCCCAGGGGCCACTTTGGGGTGGCCGTGGCCCCGCCCGGGAGTG